CTTTTAATTAAATAATTTTTGTTGTATTTGTTTGAAGTACTCTACAATGTCTGATTACTATGGATATTACACTGCATACATTTCACAGGCCTTAGGCATTTGTTGTCAGACCAAAGAATAAGCCAGCTACTAGAACTTGTTTTTATAGATCAAGAATATCAGGGCAAGAGTTCTCAAGGCCTTTTATTGAATATTGATTTTCAAAAATTGATCTGTGAAAGGAAACACCTGAAATCTTAAATAATGTGCATTGATTGTATAGAAGAAATTTTATTTTATAGAAAATCCATTGTTACTTCAAAGATAAGCATTTTCCATAGAGTTCAGTTTCTATTTTGTTCATGCCTTATGAAGAAAAAAATCATTTTGTGTGCATGTGTATTCGGGTGAATATTAATTGTATTATGTCCATTGAAATGAATAATGTAGAACATGTAGTTTTTTCCCAACTCTTTGATCAAATATCTGTAGTGAAATGTTCGAAAATTTGAATTCCATGAATTGAACACAGCAGTTTTTTGCTAAAAAATGTAAGCATGAAAGTAATATTGAATAACAATGTGTCCAGTAAAAATCCATCATCCTGAAACAATTTCAGTAATAATGAATTATTTCCAGAGCCAATGAATTACAGTTCAATATGCTTATAGCTGTCTGAGATGGACAATTTTGCTTTGTTATAAATTGTTGTCCTTTATGTAATAAATTTAAATATTCCTGTATTAAGATGTTTTATAAGGACCTTGCATTAAGAAGCAGGTTCCTAGGTAGTAATCACAGTATTCACTTGTCTGATTGTCTGTCTGTCCATCAACACCTACTGATATGTGATTTAATAACACAAGTTCCTTTCAATCCATAGATTTTATAATAAATAGCCTTGAGTCAGAGGATGGGTATAGGTAGACACCATCAGTTTCTTGTGTTTAGTTTAACATATTAGAATAAAACAAGGTTAAATCCTGAGCTTTTGGCTTGATTTTTTCAAGACCTTTACATGTATTTCTAAAACTCTGCGTCATATTTAAAAGTTCTTACAATAAATTCTGATTCTGATTTCAAAGTAATATTGGTTCCACTGATTTTCATAGTGATCTTCCCTTCATTTTCATTCAGTGCTGTTAAAACCAGTTTGTATCTAGCTCTGTTACACCCTGCAATTATAACTCTCTTGAGTTTTGTAATTAGTAAGTCTGATTGACAGTGATTGTCTCCCTTTGTAATTTTTTTCCTGAGATTAACTCCCCTTGACATTTTTATTTCAGCTATAACTTCCCAGTATGCAGAGTCTTGGAGAAGATCTTATCTGTATTCTGGACCAACTGGAGTACGTATGCACCTATAATCCTGAAAAAAAGATATATTATATGTAAATTTAAATTAGCAAACTTCAAATATTCAGATTGTAGATACATTTTATTCCTTTATTGAAACTTAAATTTATTTTATCATCTGAAGATACAGTGTACTTGTGTATGGTGTATTTTATATAATGTTGATCTTTGGTTGTGTATTTTGTAAGTTTGTGAATCTTTGATCTATTACAGCATTAAGCAGGTGGTGGGAATCGGAGAGGGAGCAGGGGCTAACATCCTCGCCAGGTTTGCTGTATGTCTATTTTATGTTCCGTTATTTGTATTTATATAATTGGAAACCTAATATTTCCCCCAGTAACTAATTTGTCTGCATGTAATTGAAAAGCAATAAAAATGTCGTAACTGTAAGTACAAAAGAGAGAAGCCTCAAAATATTGCAATAACTTCACAACAGCAATGACACACAATCAATACTGGAACATTAACATTTGATGGCATATGACAAGCAGCAGTGTGAAATTATTGATAGTGAAAATGTCAGTGTCTGAGACACTGACTTTAGAATTTGTATCCATTTGATAGAGGTTGACACCTCTTGGTGTAAAATTAACTTTCAGGGGATCCGGGAGTTAGCGTTGGTTTTCCCCAGCCCTTTTAAATTTTGTTTGCTATATGGGGCTGACATTTAAAAAAATTTTGTATTTAAATTTTAAAAACCCAAACCAGATTAACATTTCTTAACTCCCTTTTGCAGATAAACAAAAATAAAATTCCCTCAATAGACAAACAAAGCTCAACTCCTACTCAATCCGGATAAACAAAGCTATAATCCTCTCCTCAATCCAGCAAACAAAGCTAGATTCTAGCTGCTATTCAGATATACATTTCTGAACTCCTCTTACTCCAGATAAACAAAGCTATTCCTAGCTCCTCTATACAATAAAAGCTAAAATCCTAGGTCCTCAATATACAATAAACTAACCTACTCCTAATCAGATAAACAAAGCTAACTCCTAGCTCCTCAATCCAGAAAACAAAGCTAAACTCCTAGCTCCTCATCCGTATAAACAAAGCTAAACTCCTAGCTCTCAATCCAGAAAACAAAGCTAAACTCCTAGCTCCTCAATCCAGATAAACAAAGCTAAACTCTAGCTCCTCAATCCAGATAGCAAACTTAATGCCTACTCCTCTAACCAGATAAACAAAGCTAAACTCCTAGCTCCTCTATCCAGATAAACAAAGCTAATCTCCTACCTCCGCAATCCAGACAAACAAAGCTAATCTCCTAGCTGCTCAATCCAGACAAACAAAGCTAAATGCCTAGCTCCCCAATCCAGACAAACAAAGCTTAACTCCTAGCTACTCTATCCAGATAAACAAAGCTAAACTCCTCTTCAATCCAGATAAACAAAGGTAATTGCCTAGCTCCTCAATCCAAATAAACAAAGCTCCTTGCTCCTCAATCCAGATAAACAAAACGCCTACCTCCTCAATCTAGATAAAGCTAAATGTTCCTTAAGCTAGATAATTGAGCTAAACTGCCTTCCAATTATGCTCTGCTGTGACTTCGATTGAAAAGCACTATTTCATACTTGTCAAGGACTAAGGAATATAAATAAATAATTGAAATAATTTGTACTATGTTAACATGACATGATACATCTTTTCAGTATGGTATGTGGTTAACATAAAACTTGATGAGGTGACCTAGTTAAGAGACATAGTGCCACACCATCCACTGTTGCAGCCTCTATAACAGATCATGATTTATATATTAGTAATAATCTCTGATAATATCTCTGCTAAGAGACACCCATCAGCAGTGGTTATCAGGGCTGCGGAAACTTAATTCCAGCTCTTTCCTCATTATTTTCCTCATTTCAGTGGTAATTAATTAACAGGTGATATTAAGTATTGGGTTGTATTGAGAGAGGCCATTAAAATAATTAAATAAGAACAATGTCTCCTAGTTACACACTCTAAATGACATGTAAAGATAATATGTCTTAGGATGTGACTATTGGAGCATGTGCGTTTAACATTAGTTCACAATTGAAACTTTGAATCCCCTCTCCAAACTTAAACCACAGAGACAGTTAGAATAATGTCACATACGTTGTATGTAAGTTGCATTCCCATGAGGAATTCAGTCTTTGTTTGATTTTGTAAGTGTACAAGGTGATAGTAGACAGATACAGAAGTTGCTAGTAGGCTGATGTAATAAGCCCTATTGTTGTTGTAGATGGCCCAGCCTGCCCGAGTGTTAGGAGTTGTCCTGATCCACTGCACCGGAACCACCGCAGGAATCATGGAGGGATTGAAGGACAAGGTCAGACAACAAACTCACAGACAAAACAAAACACAAGACAAAAAACAAAACAAAAAACAGAGCAGTATAGGAGAAAAAAGGAAAATATTAGTTACAATGGCTGTCTAAATAACAATACATGTATCAACACAGAGAAAAAAACAAAACAGTTTATTTAGAAGAAAAAATCAAATTATCATTTACTGTAAAATCACATATTTTGTGGGATCAAATTTTCGATGGTTGGAGGAAAAACTCTTGTCATGGGGATTTGATTCATAGAGAACTTTGAGTAGTTATGTATATAGCATTATACATTTCTTGTGGACGTGAATTTTTGGTCTTTTCATACCTGAAAACAACAAAATATAAACTCCATGAAAATTTGTGATTTCACAGTAGTTATAATATCTCTTAAAATAACAGACCAACACACAGACAAAACAAATAACAGCACAGTGTAGGAGAAAAAAAGCAAAATATCATTAGTTACAAATTCTCTCTAAATAATAGATCAACATACAGACAAAACAGATGCGTTGGTATAATTGTGGGAAAAGATAACTATAATTAAGAATGATTTTTATTAATTGACAGCTGATTGGTTGGAAGTTGGAACATCTAGGAATGAATCCCACTGCTGAGGCCTACTTAATGATGCACAGATTCGGTTCGGTATGTGAAACTAGCGTATCTGACATTGATACATTTGTCTCGTGGATAAAAATCTCAATAGTAGTATATAATTCACATCTGTTGTACTGTGCGCTTAATAGTTCCACCAGTCTAGTTTTTGTTTGGATAATTTATACTGTTTTGAGTCTGCCATTGATATGCGTATTTATTTCAGCCAGAGATCAAGATCCCGTAGTAGCTTTGTAGACAGGTGTGGTATAAGTCACTTTGTGTCCCAGGTTTGGGCCACGGCAATTCTGTATAACCCCAATCAGCTCTAACAATATGTGTCCAGATTCTATTTCCCCATATATCTCTCCTAATTCTCTAGAATGCACTCTACAAACTACCGTATTCAAATAATATGCACCTAAGACTTGCATTTGAAATGTAATTTCTCTTTTAAAAAAAAGGTATTTTTAAGCAGAATAAGGATACACATAAATGAATTGTAGTTCAATATAACAATTTCTTAACACAATCTTATGATGTACTAAAAACTTACATGTACCAGTAAAATATTTTTTTTAATTTTTGCGAGTTTAATGGTAAGACTCTCCACATCATTTTTGATGTACTGAGTAGAACGATCACAATCAGGAAACTGCCCATTTCGCCATCGTTATCAGACTAATATAATGGTACTCAAGATACCCACTCAGGCATTCGGCATAATCTACAAAAATTGTACCTACTTTGCAGTGAACCTTAATTTGCATGGCAAACATTTATATCACGTCTGTATAAGATATGTAATAGCGTTCTAAGATCTTGTGCTAATTCTTCTATTTATAGAATATTGCATGAAATGTGCTCCAATGAAATCTTATTCTTTCATGTATAGCTCTTCTGTTCTTTATCTTATTGGTTTGCATGTTCCATGTAGTAAACTACACTATAAATCATTTTCAGCAGTATAGTAGTCTGAGATTTCTGTATTTTATAATATTAATATAAATAAAAAAAAAGATATTTATTGAAATTAATGTATTGATTTAGAAAAAGAGTATAACTTGTTTGTAGTCAGAAAGATGTCATATCTTCAAAGCCTCTTAAAATGACTAGAAATTTTGGGCTTCAGAATATTTTCTTATGAATACATGTATTTGAATGCTCTGTAAATAGTCCTGTACAGGTATTTAGATTAAGAATTAATGAGTTGTAAGTTACAGTTCCAGTCTTGAAGAAAATGAATATTAAAGTTTCATGCTTCTTTGTACTCAGAAAAAAAATCTTACTTGAAATTGAGGTTTTGAAGTAAAACAATGAAATTATAATAAATAGTGAGAATGTGAAAAGGAAATTCAGTTGTAGGTATAATGAAAGACAAATCAATAACAGCAATTCTGTAATGGTCTGTAGGAACTGTACCAATGTGAGGCAGCCAAAGGATTCTATGATTCTCTGTTTGATGTTTTTAATGAGTATAATTTTTATATATGAATCAGTCATAACAAGAAATGTAGGATGCCTTTTCTCTTGTTGACCATCTAGAAGCATAGATAATTCACCAGCAGTATAACCAACAATCTGGAATCTATGCACCTTTAAACCTATATATTTCAAGATTTTATCTAACAACACACCTTTGTTTTGGGATTGAAGTAGAAAAGTTTTAAAAAGTCTTGAAATCAGGCATTAGTCTGATAGATACAGTAAGATATAGATGAAGCCATATTTAATCTTTGACTGCTACCTTAAAACAAGTAAAATAATGGATCAAGGAAACATTTTAAGTCACTTATCTGTATTTAAGGGAAGGGGGGAATCCCATAGTTTATGTATATCAGTAAGGGAAGGAATCCACCCCTTTTGATGAGTATTTATTTATAAAGATATATACCTTTAAAATGAAGCAAGATTTAAATACTTATAAATCAAAAATTTTTATTTTTTAAAAGAGTATAAAGTAGAAATGATAAATGAAGTTTTGTAGAACTTTTGAATCAGAGAAATAATTCTAGCCTCCTCAGAATCTCTCACTAACAAGCACCTGTTTGTCATATTTTGTCCCTGTATCTTATTCAGTCCTCTTCTTATAGTCATTGACAGCCTGATGTTCAACTTTCAAACATAAAAAAAATAGTAATAATGTGCGGCTTCTAAAGTAATGATTCTCGCAATAGGATCAGTAATTGCTGGAGACCAATATGGCTATGTAATAATGCACAGATTCCGTCATTGCTAAAGACAACCTTTGCTATGTAATAATATGGATCTTTTCTTTTTTTGGCATTGCAGGCTATGGTGAGTCAATAACAGCTTGAAGTTTTGAATTACTATTTTCATTTTATTGAAAACTTTGGTTTTCTTCACAGATTTATTCACTAAGATTATGTAACATTCTTTTTATCATTCAGCTTTCACTAACATTTGAATGACATGCATACAAATTCACCTGAAGGTTTCAATGCTTTAATTACATCAGTGCATTGAATACCCCAGAGCATTTTCATTATATTTATATTCTAGACACATAATGAATGAAGCTCATCATTCGTCCCTAAATGTGTTAGAAATTTAGATTAGATTCACCTATCTCTACAGAAAATTGATGTGTTGAATTAAATTAAATCCCTGTTTGAAATTTCACATTCTGTTTTAATTTACAATTTGCATGAATTTAGTGATAGTTAAATGTTTTCACAATATGTTGGTTGACTTCGATTTTATGGAGAAAAAATGTTCTAACTATTCTAATTACCTAAGAAACTAATATTTAAGGAACAGAAATGAAATAAATATGATTTTTTATCTGATATATACATGGGAACAGTGTGCATATATAGGACAGTTTCTTACACGATGCTAAAAACATCTTGTACCTGTGAATATTAATGAGCGTTGCCGTGTTGAAAACTGGTGACATGTGTCGCTGGGGCTAGATTTAATTTGACAGTTGTGGTGACATGAAGTTAAATAGCTTCTTAGAGGAAACCCATATCATGGCTGTACTACTGTGAAATTAAAGAAAACATTCTATAGAAAATTATTTGTGGCCAGGTCAAATAAGAAAAGTGTAAAAATATGCACTTTAAATACTGCTTTTATGTAACATGCACAAATAGATTAGTTTATATTAATCTATGAATATATTTAGTTTCCATAATCACTAATTATTATATGATGCAGTATAGCACATATTTATTTTACAAACTCCATATTTAGTAAAAAAGTAAAATTTGCTTGAAGAGATTTGGGGTCACTTTGTCAAAATATTATCAGTATTATCAATTATTGTGTGATGCAATAGCATACACAACTTATGGAAGACTAAACATCTATAACATATAGGCAGGAAATGGTTACGGAATATGAACTGCTCTGTTGATTTTGGAATTACGTGCAGACTTCTTATTTAGTTTACAATGAAGATAATGCATGAGGTGGGGTAAAGGTCTTTGATAAGATGGATGACAAACATCTGTTATGTAATCCTTAGACAGAACATTGGCTGATATCTCAACATGATGATGGGAAACTATAATTGGGTATATCATTGATATACATGTAGTCCTCTAGAATGCTTTGCTTGAAGCCATTAAGAAAATGTAACTATACAGTCAAGTATAATCCAGATTGCTGAAAGTAACTGCTTATTACAATCAGTTTTAAATAGATATCTATATATTATTTTTATAACCTTTATATATATTTTAACCTACAGATGTAGAATTAAAACAAAAACACATCCAATACAAACTAGATGTAACATTCCTGTATGCAATATATGATAGTATTAAAGGTGTAGGTGTGAAAGGGAAGTTACCCTTACAAAATAAGATTTACAGTCTAAGTTCTACCCACTTTATTAGTACATGTATGCAGCAGATTTGTACGATGACAGTATTTGCTGTATGATCTGGTGTCATGACATGGTGACTTACTGTCATATTACCATGACTGTGTTTCCAGGGTCAGACACACTGGTTCACACTTACAGTACATTGACCTTCCCTCAGATAGTATTGATCTGGAGAACTTGGTGAACGTGGGAAATATTCCGGATTATTGGTCTATTGATTGTCCTTCTAATGAGCGTGTGTGTGATGTTCATTTCATTGCCGAGCAGAAAATAACTCAAGATCCAGAGCTTCCACTAATAAGATTGATCAACAGCCCCCCATCTAATGTTCTAACTATTGAACAGTTTGGAGGATTTTTATAATTTTTAACCTTCCATTTTTAGCTCACAAAATGAAGGAGATCTGTTCTTACACTTTAAATGTCTGTACAGACATTGGATATGTCTACATTAAAAGATCAAGACGGGATGTAGCTAAAAAACTTGTGATGTGGCTTGTTTTGGACAATTAGGGGACATTCTTGTGCTTATTTTGGAAACTATGATCTGTAACTTAGATGAGTAAATAGATAAATTAATGTTATCAAAGCCATACAACCATTCCATCACTTACCGGACTGCATGGATACTTTTCAGGATGCAGGTATTGGTCTGTATGTCTTCAGCTGATTATTTCAATCCTGACAAGGTCAAGGTATTTAACCAAAATCAATGCCCATCTTGATGAATGATATATTCAAATCAGATAATGATTTGAACTCAATAGTTATTTATCTTAACAAACGCCTTTTAGCTCTACCTAGAGCAAGTGCAGCTTTTTCGATAAATTTGTTACCCTTGGTATATTATAGAATTGTGATTTGTATCTAACTTTCCATTTTAAATCTTCTTCTCAAGAACCACTGGCCATTTCAAGCAACTGACAAATCTGGGTGAAGGGATTAAGTTTGTTCAAATGAAGGGCACACCCTTTCCAAGGGGAGTGAATGAATTGTAAAAATTAATGGCATTTTTAAAATCTTTTCTCAAAGACTCAGACGAGAAACTTATGTGGAATTATCCTCGGTGTGTGATTCAAGTTTGTTCAAATCAATGCCCCAGCAAAGCCAGTAGCCAAATGGCCGCCCAAGTTTTCATAGGAAGTATAAAATCTTTAAAATCTTCTTCTCAGAACCTGCCAGGAAAGATGAAACATGTGGAATCATCTTAGTGACAGTCTATGTCAATCTGACCGGGGCTGGTGACTTCAGTGCAACCAAGTTTTACATGGAATATTAGAAAATCTTTAAAAATTCTTTTCTGAACTACGGGGCCGGAAAGATGAAACTCATGTGGAAATCCTCCCGGGAGAGGAGATTTAAATTTTTAAAAAACCCCGGGGAGGGTGGGGCCCAAAAGGGAAAAATTTTACATAGGGAAAATAGGGAACTTTTTTAAAAACTTTTTACAAAATTTTAAAGCTATGATTAGTGATATTTATATGGAATCATCCTGGTAGTGTAGATTCTATTTTTCAAAAGATAATGCCTGGGGGGGGGGGGGAGTAAAATTTAAGCCTGATGTGCTGGTAACGCTTGGTGGGCCCCTTTTTTCTAATGTGAAGCATATTACATCATATTTACATGATTTTAAAATTTTAACAGTTTTTTGGGTACTGGTCCCTTACAATGATAAGGTTAAATTTTTCATTGATTTTAAAAGAAAAGATAATGACATATATACAGGGTTTTTTCTTAAACTATAATTCAAAAAATAGACAAAATTTATTTATAACCCTTTTTTCTTTTTTAATAAAGTAAAAACCTATAAAAGCGAAGTCAGTTAATTATTATATTTTACTGCAGGAAAGATAAAGCAAAGGTGTAGTTATGACAGTTTGTCAGAGCTGATTTGCTTTGACTTTCAGTTCAATGCTATTTCAGTGGTTTGAACATATTTTATTGTAATTTCTAATTACAAAGGGATTGGGCACAAATTCTAAAAACTATTTAGTGCAGGTGTTAGCATCAAAATAAGTTTCTCAGACACCCAGATTTTTTATAAACAATATGCTTGAATTTTAAATGAAGCTCTTTGAGAATCTTTAACAGTTAGATTACTGTGAAATAGATCCAATGTTTTGTCTGGGTGTAGGTCTTCAGACATAACAGGGAGGTCTGACTTCTAACTTTTTTCTTTACAGTTTGAGAAAACTAATCAGGAAGAACTGAACAAGGCCATTAACTCATTCCAACACTCACTCCGAAAAAAATCAATCCTCAGAACCTCAAACGATTTGTAAGTCTTTCATGAAGTAAGCCACATGTCAAATCCAGTGTTTGATCAGGTCTATCACAAAATAAATCCACTTAAGTCTTTCATTAGTAAATTATATTAATTTTAAGTTACATTTCAAATTTAAAATGTAAAGTTTCAGATAAAGATTTTAGTAAAATGAGATGTTTTAATTTAAATTTTATAATGCTTAAAAAAGGGATTTCTCAGGTTTTTATATTAATTCACTTACATTCAGATGTGAAAGAAATAGAAAAAAATTAAATTAACATTTTTCACAGTGAAGTTTCTTCTTGAGTATCTGTTTTCTCTAATACTCTCTAAGGTTGATTTTTGTTTTTGTAGGAGAACTAATATTGCTGAAAGCATTGGGAAGATGAAGTAAGTAAAGTCAAACATAGAATTTCTTTCTCTTGTTCTGTAACACAGTATAGTTAGCTGCAGAACTACTTCACTGATCTAAATGAAAATGGGGATGGATGACCATCTCTATTTTTCAAGTGTGATCTACAGATCTGCAGCCAATGGAAATGTATAGCTTGAGATTGTTTTATAAAGTGTAAATTGTGTAATTTAATAAATTTAATGTATACTGTTTCATGTATTATGACTCTCAAGCAGTCTGGTGAATACAATGTCAAATAACACTAGTATTGTAAGCACAATTTTATAATGTACAGGCGCTTATTGCTAATGATTTGTCTTTGATTTTACAGATACCCTTCTAGTGACAGGTGCTCTTGCCTCTTTTCGTTGAAGATTTGTCTTTAATTTTACAGGTGCCCTGTACTCCTTTTGACAGGTGCTCTTGTCTGTTTTTGTTGATGATTTATATCTGATTTTACAGGTGCCTTCCTAGTGACAGGTGCTCTTGCCTCTTTTTGCTGACATTTTAATTTTAATTTAAGGTGCCCCTTGCCCTTGTGACAGTTTGGTTTTTGTTTTAAATTTTTTCCCTTATACATGGCTGGTTTTATGTTTGGGTAAGATGGAGAAGAACAAAGGGGGAGATCATTGAAGTGGAGGGGGTGGCTAAGTTGTGGAGGAGAAGGTAGGCTCACTCTACCTGTCTGACAGATAACAGCATCAGTGGTAACATTCAGTGACCTGAAATCGAATTTCAGTAGCTACAAGGCAAGACAGGGGAAGTTTCTGAAGATTGATGTAGCAAATAATTTCCTGAGTATTTAGTTAAGTCTTGGAAAGGCTTTATAAACCAGCTGCAGTTCAAATAATTTGGAATTAACAAAGGTTACTAGTTTTACTTGAGTTCCTTAATTTTAAGGGAAATAGGGAACACTTTGTGGTGTTGCCATATTGAGCTTTTTGCTCTAAATGTTTGAGTTAATTTTGTAGCAAGAATTCCACTTTTTCCAGCAAAAATCAAGGCCTCTGATTTCTAATGATTTCTATTTCAGCCTGGAACGTCTAGCTGAGGCCTTCCTGTATTTCTGTCAGGGACTGGGAGTTAGTAAATTAGTTCAGAACCTTAGACTGTGTGTGACTAACAGCGGCAAATAGTGTGCTACAGCTTGGAGAGGAAGTAGTCCCAAATATAAATAATTAGAGAAA